CGATTGTGTCAAACAAGTTGTAATACAAGCAACTTGCATAGCTCGTTCGCTAGCAGAGCAGGTTGATCAAGCGCTACCAGATAATTTTCTTAAGGAACCCTATACTAGTCAAGGCCAGACACCGCGAGCGAAACGTAACCCGAATCATTTAAGCCTGTTACCGGGTATGTCAGATTTAGCATTTCCCAGACGCTCCTTACACGTCGAAGGTGTTCTAAACATCCTTTTGACCGATCGAGCTAATGATATTTACTATCAGAATATGCTGAAGTCAGTTCAAAGTCTTATTCTTGGTGAGAGAGGTGGGAGGCTGGAAACCAGGCAAACAACCACTGCTCCGATATGACTCACACAAATGGTTAGTATTATGCACGTTGACAATTTCCGTCTGCTCTCGACAACAAATGAAGCTCACCAAACTTCAACAGAGACTGTTGGCAAGCACTTGTTTAATTAACACTATTTGGTGTCTCCGAAAGCCTCTGCATAGTTGGGGTGGGTGTCTTGGGTTGTGGCTGGTTACCCTGCCCTTTCATCTGATGAAATGCCCCCATACGACCAAAGGTCCCAAAAAGCCTCTGCTGAGGAAGCCCTAATCACTGCCGGAGATGGTGGAGATGTTTTTCTACTAAAGTGAGAGAACAAAAAGTCAACATCCGGAGCTATAGACGGGTTGGTGAACCCCTGGAAGTCCATCTAAGGGAGTTGGCTAAAAGCCCCGATTTCAAATCAACCAAGAAGGGGCGTAGGAACTACACTCACTCACCTTGGTTGTGCTAGTGATCATCAGCACCAGTTGGCTTGGAGGTGTATTGGGCACCTTGGATGTCTGACCCCGTCCGAAAGGCGTATGATCCGATGAACTGGACACCGGCTTCCAATGGACTGCGGTTTTCATACACCGCCCCGCTGCCTTGTGGGTCAGGCTTTGGCTAGCCGAAGGCTCCGGTTGTCAATTCCTCAAGAAAATTCACCTGTCTTGACCTGGGCAACCTGACAGTATTCAGCCCACAAGCCAATCATGGAAGGGTTTTTTCTGTTTATAAATATTACTGTACCATGATTTGCCAGGCACACAGTCTGTCCTCAAACAAGTGTGATCAACGCACGGCAAACAGGATGCAGTCAGCAACAGCCACTCTTGTTGTTCTGGTAATTGAAAATTATCGTCGTCCACAGCAGTTCAACGGGTTTAATCACCTATTCCCATTTTGCGCAACACTTACAATCAATTCGAGGGGGGAAATGATTTGTGAAGAAACAAAAACTTAGTTGCCCTGTTCGAATTGTCCGGCACTTGTTGGAACGGGGCACGGAGGAATATACCCTCCGTTGTGCTAGTGTTACATAATGGAGCACAATCCTTAAGCCCGATGCGCCCAAAAAGACGAACAATCCAATACGAGAGCAGACGAGATCGGGTTGGACCAAGCGGTGTACAAATAATACTGGCACAGAGTTATCCAAAATGGAACAAGTGCGTTGCAAATTTGAGAATCAAAACCGGGGTGATCAAAGAATATACATATTGGGGACTTACTGAACCGGCCATTTCCAGTCGATCGTTGAGACGTTGAGATATACTAGCCGAGAAGCGTTTGCCCCAGTTTGAAATGAGTCCATGAAAGGCAAAGTCTTGCACCGCATAACCCACGGCAAAATTTGCCCGTTGC